CACTGAATTCAACGTCAGTGACACTGCCTCAGACAGATAACCCGATTCAGGAACAATGCCCTCCACAGTCTTCTGCAGACAGCTCACACTGGACTTTTTTAAGTGGAACAATTCTGATAGTATAGATCCCTCAAAAATAACCCACAACTCTTCCTCTGGGTCTGTGTCCTCTCATCTCAAACACTAATCAAATGAGTCAGAGGTTTTCCAGCCCAGCTTTATGCTGAAGTGTACTGACACAGCCTACATATTTACATCACCCTTCAACAGATTTGCTTTTCAGGCTAAACAAGCTGCCATGGAAGACAGCTCTGTCTTTCTTTCCCATGGCTTTAGCTGCTGGGTAGGAGAGGAAGGATAAGAGGAGAAAATGATTGTATGAAGATGGGCAGAGACAGGAGGAAAAGAGGGAAAACTAGGCAAAGTGTGTAGGAAATTTTTTTAAAGTAAATATATTCAATCTCCCCAAACACACACCAAAAAGGAACCCTTTCCATCTCCCTCCACCTCACTTTGTTATCTTCTCTCTCCAAACATGCAAGAAAGAGAAGCAATTCTAGTTTTGTAACTCAACACCAAAGGGGACTAAGCCCTGGTCTTTTGGTCCTCCAGGTCTGGGTTTTTCTTCCCCAGACACTACAGGGAAAGGACATCTTCAAGGAGATAGAAGAGGCCAGGCTATGGAGAAAGCCGAACACTCAGTTGCAATATATTAAAAAAAATAAGCTGTGCTCATGCTTCTAACGTGTCTTTAGTCCTTGTTTTATCTACATCCAACACTTAAAAAATTTTTTTTTTCACTTTGCTATATGCAGCAGCTAATAGATACTATTTTTTTGAAATATTATCCTCACCTCCCTGACCATTCCCTTCTTTTAGGCAGGTTAAGTTGTTAGATTCTCAAGCCTCAGAGAAAGGATATGACAGGAAAAGGAAGTTGAAGTGGAGGTTGACTGGACGGGCGGGTGTGCTGAGAGGTGGCTTCTCAGAGCTCACCCCTCCTCGATCAGGCTCACAGGACACCTCCCGGCTGCACCTCGGCCCCAGATGGAGTCTCATTTCCAATTGCATTCTTGACTGAGGGTCAAGATGACGGATGAGGGCAACCCTGCCAGGCTCCTGCCTTCGCTGACAGTTGTTAGAAAACGTGCTGTGAGTTTCAGTGTATGTCTGATACAGGGACTTCCTTAAATATTTTTGCTCCTTAAGTATTTTTTTAAGATGAAAACAACCCAGCGTCCCTTTGCATTAAAAATAGGTTTATTAGAATAAGAATATACCAATGTCAATGTGATATTTGTTCACACATGCCAGTTTTTCTATTTATGTTGACATTTAAGTTTAATCTGATATCGTGGTTCTATTTCAGAAAAACTTTGTTTTGAGAGAGGAAACCACTGTTCTTCCCTGAGATCTCCCTGAGTTCCAGATGCTTGTTTATTTCTAGAGCGTGGTCTCACCAAAGGGTGTGGTTAGTCTGTCTCCAGCTAGATGGTGCCTGCCATCTAGTCTGGCAACACAGACGGGAGATGCTGCCACATCCAGTTTAGAACAGTTCCAAGCCACGATTGCAAGAGTCTGCTAAGGCTATTTCCTTATTTGTAGAAAAGAGTGGGGTCTCATCCCCGGCCAGATCCATAAGCAGCATGGCACATAGGAAGTCAGCATTAGAAGAGGAGAGGGAAGCATGAGAAGATTAAAAAGCAGCAAAGGGCACATATAAACGGTTGGTTTAGCTCCCCCAGTTATTTAGGAGATGTTGCAAAGCACTCACTGCCATAGTCTCTGCAGACCCATTCCACCAAGAATTCAGGGAAGGTAGTCACAGATCAAGCTGATGGGATAATGCTAGGATATGTGGTATATTTCCTTATATGCAAAACGGTCAGGCTCTTCCTGCTCAAGGGTAGGTCAGGAAGATCCAAATCAGTTATCTGGACACAGGAAAGTGAAATGCGAGTGTTTCCTCATGTGTGTAAATGATCACAGAATAGGCAAACTTTAGGTTTGCCAAGGTTTAAAACTAGAATCGTGAGACTATCGGTCTTTAGAAAGAAGTTAAAAATCTCATCAGAGCCCATTTCATGCATCAGTCACTGACTTGTGAGTATGTGAGTGAGTAATCACATATACCTACCCCAAAACTTAGGGGAATGTAGGTGGTACATATGGACAATAGTCAGGTTTCTGAAAACTCTAAAAATTAAACCACAAAATCGGATAACAATAAATAAATAAAATGTGTAACAGAGGCATTTTGGAGACAAAAGATTTCTTAGACCAAAAAAAAAAAAGAGAGAGAGAGAGAGAGAGAGAAAGCTGTCAATTAATCAATCTGTACATAATACAGTGGTTAGGGGAGAAGATGGTCACTTAGAAAAGAGGACGATGCATGCTTGGGGAGAAACTTGGGAGTGCCCTGACCCAGGCCCTCATCCTACATGGACCACATAGCTGGGCTCATCAGGCAATGATACACATTACCTACTTTGATTCCTTTCTCTCTAATTAGACGTTCAATTGTAATTCGTTTTTCCACACGGTTTCCTCAACAAGACAGAATTGTGCCTCTGGCACAAGTACAAGCTTGGCAGTTTTGTTCTTTACTCAGAACTAAAAGTGGCATCGTGGTTTATGCAGCTTGCTATTCTGAGCTTGGTAAACATCAGCCCATCTGGAAAAGATTTTCGGAGGTTGCAAGGATGAGTGCCACGCCCTGGAGTGTGGTCATTTTACTAAACCGAATTCATGTCCAGCTAGTTAATCCGGCCTGGAAACAGCTCTACCTGGTCCTGTTTCCAATAGCTGTAAAATGCCTGGTTCTCTTAGTGCCAAAAATATTCTGTTTAGTGTATGTTTGTTGGTATGTTCCATAATAAATGCACTTATTCGGGAAGTTTTATTTAACATGTGGCTTACAGAAAAACCCAGATCATTTTTGCTTTATTCAAGCCTCGTGATCAATCGCCACCTTATGCACTAAATTTAATGATCATTAATGAATAAACATGATTTCCTCCTTGGTAGTTGGGCAAACTACAAAAGTACCTTATCTCTTCCAAATGCAAAGAAATATTTCCATTATTGACAAACATATGTGTGGCCAAACAAGAGAGATGGTATAAAGACCTTATAGTCAGAATCTTTGAAAGACCTTATAGTCAGAATCTTTGTTCATTAAAAAAAATTATGGATTATAGTAAATTAGTGATAGCTCCATTTAATTCTAAAACGAAGTATTATTTATTTGTTTGTTTGTTTGTTTGTTTGTTTTCCAGTGACTTTTAGCATTGGGCGAATTTAAGATTAGCCACCAAAGGTAAGCTGAAGGGTAGAAGTTCAGTGAACTTGAGTTGTTTCTATTTCCTATATGCAAAGGAAGTAGCAGAGGTAGGAGGTGTGTGGGCATGCCTTTTACTGAGATCATTATGTTCCAAGTTGAGTAGACGTTGCAAAGCTACTTAATTTGTCTCTTTTTAGCACGTTAACTTAGATTTCTCTTAATTCATACAAAATTAATTAATAATGTTGACTAATTGACTAATAATTTGAGCTAACATTGATTAAGTATTGCCATATGCCAGACAATAGGCTAAGCCCTTTTCATGCATCATCTCACTTAATTGATGTATTAATTTTATGAGGTAGATACAATTATTATCCTAATTTTGCAGACAAGGAAAATGGAGCTTGTAAGCAACTTGATAAGGCCACATGCCTGCAAAATGACAGTGAAGAGATGACTCTCAGGTCTGAGGACTTAATACTTAGTGAATCTCTTAACTACTTTTTGCTATAGTCTCTGCAGGCCCACTTTCCAATGCATCAAAGCCATTATAAAGATCAGATTCTTTACCAAACTAAGTAAATGTCTTCTATTTCTTTGACTCAGACGGTGATAAATCAGCATAATAATAATAATAATAAAATATCACCTCTTGAGCATTTGCTATACACCTGGCACTATTCTACATGTTTACATGTATCAACTCATTTAATTCTTCACAACAAGCCTATGAGATAATTTCTATTATTATTCCTATCTGCAAATAAGGAATTAAGGTGCATGGAGCCCAAGTAACTTGTCCAAGGACACACAAGTAGATACTTATTTACTTATTTATAGCCTACCCAACAGAGGCCACAGCCGAATAACTTTATTCCAGTTCTTTACTGTTGGTTCAAGGACACATAACAAGTTCTGAGAAAATGTGGAGAAGAAAAATCACTCTCTTCAAATCCTTGGCTAAATTCTCTTCTGGAACTTATCACAGCATTAGCAAAATCAGAGCACCTTTCACCCCCAATGAAGGTGTGCTCCTCTCCCGTAGATGCCTCAGAGTGTTGGTTAGAAAGCTGTCACTTTGGACTTAAACGACGATCCCGTAGTTGAGTTGAAATCATTAGCAGTCACTTTTTTGTATAGTTGATTGAATTAGCCAGGAGGTTGTCCCATTTGTTCAGCCATTAAGGGCCTAACCAGAAGTTTTCAATCTCGTTCCTGTCTGAACACGTCAAGTCAGTCCCATACCCCCAACAGTCATAGTGGCTCTCGACAGCCATGATTCTGAAACAGGGGAGGGTGTCTGCCTCCTGCTGCTCACACATCCTAAAGGAAGCAGGTTAGAACCTCGTGAGAGGAGAAGACAACTGATTTTGGAGAAAGTATCTCCCGCCTCAGGTTATCATGCCGTATTGTCCTATCCTACCTTGAGAATCACCATCCCAAATGCTGGACTAACATTTCTTCAACGTTTTCCTCCACAGACACAAACTCCATTTTGATGTTCCAGGTTGTTCAGTCTTTGTCATGGTGAAGTTTTCTGCTAAACTGATTTATAATCTCAATCTATGCAATGTTATTTGCTCTAGAAACCAAGAAAGGCCAAACTGTTTACCAATAACCAATAGGCAAACTGACTAAGGGAATATTGAAAAAGGGAAAAAAAAAATCACTGTGTAGATCAACGAGTCCAAAACCACATTAAAGTCTACACAAGTGACTCAGCTCATAGCTTCACTCAGCTCAGGGTGAGAAAAATGAATGCCCATGGGAAAGCATTCGATCCCTTCCCACAGCTTTCTTCATGGCCTTTTTAATCTCCTTGTTCCTAAGACTGTAGATGATGGGATTCATCATAGGGATCAGCAGAGCGTAGAATACGGACACCACCTTGTCCTGATTCAGAGAGTAGCTGGAACTAGATCGCATATACATGAAGAAACCAGAACCGTAGAAGAGGGTCACAGCAGACAGGTGAGAGACACAGGTGCTGAAGGCCTTGGTCCTACCTTTAGCTGAGCTGATCTTCAGAACAGCAGCGACGATGTAACTATAAGAAATGAGGATCACTAGGATAGATAACACTCCAACAACTACCCCCACAATGAAGTTCACAACCTGACTGGTGAAGGTATCAGAGCATGACAGAACCAGGATGGGAGGAAGATCACAGAAGAAGTGGTTGATCACGTTGGGCCCACAGAAATCATGCTGGTAGACAGAGTATGTTTCAATGAAAGAACTAAGGAATCCACCCACATAGGCCCCAGCCACCATCTTTAAACAAAGGGTGTGGGACATGAGGGCCATGTAGAGCAACGGGTTGCAGATTGCAGCGTACCGGTCATATGCCATGGCCGCCAAGAGAAAGCATTCTGTCAGCCCCATTCCACAGAAGACGAAGTACTGCGTGGCACAGCCGACAAAGGAAATGGTTTTCTGTCCTGTGATGATGTCCCAGAGCATCTTGGGGGCTGTGGAGGACACATAGCAGGTATCTAGAAAGGACAGGTTACTGAGGAAGAAGTACATGGGCGTGTGGAGGTGGGAATCCATCCTGATGAGGGCAATGAGGCTCAGGTTCCAGGCTAGTGTCAGGAGGTAAATCCCCAGAAATAACACAAAGAGGAAAATCTTCATTTGAGGATGATCTGAAAATCCCAGGAGGGTAAATTTTGTCACAATTGTGTTGTTCCTTCCTCCAGCCATAGACCTGCTTCTTCCACAAAGGAAAGAAGCAATCCTATGAGCAATTCGATTTTGTGTGTTATTATGTGAGTGGTATTTCCCGGAAGATCATATGAACGCTTCACACCAAGTTAACTAACATCCCAGCCACCTGCTTGGCAAAGTCTTCTCGGGGGAAGTCAGCCTATGAAAATCTCTTGGCACTATTTAAAACCCATATATTGCATAGCTCGTTGACCAGAAGAGAATCAGTATAATGAGCAGAGAGTGACTGACAGTCAGTGATGAGTCTTGTCAGTAGCTCTGTTCCCCACTGTCTGGGGACTGTGGAAAAGTCACCTGGCCTCTTTGGAGCCTCATTTTCTCAACTGAAAAATGGGAGGGTTGAATCAAATGAATTTCAAGGTTCCTTTGGACTTGGGTTTCTTGCGACTTTTGAGACTTTTTGACTTGAAAATGTTAACCCAGATTAATGACAAAGTTAGGAATTTCTTACATTTTATATATTTTCAGTATAAGAACCCAAAAAAGGAGCTAAATACAACAAGCTATAATATTTGACATATTTCATCTTGAGAGAGGAAATTCAATCCATAATAAAAATAATCCATTCTTTTAGGTTTTAGGACTAAGAGAAAAAAATATATATACATATATGTTATATACACACACACACACACACACATATACACACACACACAATCATGCTTAGAAGTGGAAATTTTTTCTAATTATATGATAAGTTTTTATACAAGTTACTGCATAAAAGGGTCAAAATTTGGACTAAGCCAACCAGCACCATTATGGGATAGAAGGACTCTGAACAAACCTCTGCAGGGGGTTGGGGGTGGGGAAGCGACACCAAAGTTGACTGAAATTGCCTAAGCCATGAGGTCAAGAGCAAGCAGAAATCAGTATTTCCTGAGCGAGAAAAGCTGGAGAGGATTCATTAAATATTTAAGGACAGGCGAGGGACAACTTTGATGTCATCAAGCCAGACCAGATTATTATTTTCAACACATGAGATAAGCTCATACACATTTTGCATCAAGAAAGTCAGGCTGGCACCAATGTAAGGTCAAAAGGAGGAAATATAAATAGATGTAGAAAGGCAGACACACCCTGGCAACGACTCGATGGTAAAATTGAAGTTGCTAGTAACCGTGTCATTTTATAGAACTTGATTGCCCATGCGCGTTTGCAACCAATTGCAGCTAATTGTATTTATTGTTTATCACAGTAAAAACTGTTCTACCTGAGGTGTTCAACATCACTAACCATCAGTGAAATGCAAATCAAAACCACAATGAGATGTGGCCTCACCTTTCAGGATGGCTATGACTAGAAAGACAAAAAATAACAGGTGCTAACAATGATGCAGAAGAAAGGGAACCCTTGTACGTGTCGGTGGGAATGTAAATTGGTCCAGCCATTACAGAAAACACTCTAGAGGTTTCTCAAAAAATCAACAATAGACCTACCAAACAATCAGGCAATTCCATTTCTGGGTGTATATCCAAAAGAAACAAAATCAATATTTCAAAGAGATACCTGCACACCCATGTTTATTGCAGCATTATTCACAATAGCCAAGATATGAAAATGACCTAAACGTCCATAGACAGATGAATGGGTGAAGAAAATGTGAGATAAGACAGGTACATAGATACATAAATAGAATATTATTTAGCCTTTTAAAAAAGGAGGAAATCTTGTCATTTACAACATTGATGAACCTGGAAGACGTTAAGCTAAATGAAATAAGCCAGGCACTAAAAGACAAATTCTGCATGATCTCACTTACATGTGGAATCTAAAAAGTCCATCTCATAGAAATTGCTAGTAGAATAGTGGTTGCCAGGGGCTGGGGTCGGGGTGAGGGATGGAGACATGTTGGCCAAAGGATACAAAGGTTCAGTTATTCAGAGTAAATTAGTTTTGGAGATCTAATGAACAGCATGGTGACAACAGTTAATACTAACTGTTTTGTATATTTGTTTCCTGAGAGGATAGAATTTAATTTAAATCTTCTCACCACACATGCACGTGCACGCAGACACACATACACACACACACACACACACACACACACACTCAGCACTCACACACAGGGTAACACTATAGAAGTGATGGATAAGTTATTCAGCTTTATTGTGGTGATTTGTTCATAATGTATGCATGTATATAAAAACATCAAGTTGTACACCTTAACCATATACGATTTCTATGTGTTAAAGGTATCTCAATAAAGCTGTTAAAATAAACACTCCTCCTAGCTTTGTGTTTTCTAAAAATTTCAAATATCCCACAATCATCACTGACTAAGCAGCCAAAACCAAGAAGAGCCAATACTACCCTTCGCTAGGACATTAATCTATTAATCCTGCCACAGAGGACATAAACCACTCAAAGGCAGTCAAGGAGTTTTGTCTGTTCTGTTTATTGATCTGTCCTGAGTCCCTAGAACAGTATATGGGACACAGCCACAGTAAATATTTGTTGAATAAATAGATTTTATCACTGCTTCGCCTCAGAGCTTAGCAGAGTGTTTGGTTTATAATGCATGCTTATTTATAATATTATGTAATTATAATAATAACATATGATAGAATCACTTATTTAGAGCTTTCGAGCACCAGGCACGGTTATTAAGGACTTGATTTCTATTAACTCATTTAATCCTCCTGGGAGGTGGGTACAGTTACTCAGCCCCTTTTACAGATAAAATGTAAAATAGACTGTAAGCTTATAACTGTCATTTTTTGAATGAATGAGGTGGAAGGGAAGGAGCTGGGACTTACGGGGACTTACTTCAGGCAAAAGTGTCCTGAGAATCTCATGCTACGAAATTATTGCTTGCTTTGCTCCAAAAAAAAATATATTTGCATACCTCAGTTCACATGCATCTCCCACTGCTCTATGCCTGATTTCTGGGTCAGTTTTTTATATTTTGCCCTCATGCAAACAGTAATATCTACTTTTGGAATCCCTGCTCCTTTATTACCATGTCTTCAGAATGGCCTTTGGGAGTTTATTATTTTAATGGACAGGGGTTGCCACGCTCTTTCTCCTCCTGGCTGCCCTGTCACTCACTCCTGGGTCCAAAATAAAAGCCCAGCAGTCATTAGAACCAAATATTTCTAAGTGCTAATTGTTCTCTGGGGTGATGGGGAATGGGGCCGAGCACCCCTCACCAGAGTCTTATTGACGGTTCCCTTCCTTAGTCTCCCTGGAGCTTTCCTTGATCTGAGTCCAGGAAGATGTCCTCTCGCACTGGTGGGCAGCCTCCTGCTTTAAGAGACCTTTTTCCTTGCAAGTAAACGTCAAGCAAATAGACTAAGCCTTGTACAAAAATACAGTGCTTAAAATGAGAGTTGGGTTCAAATTCTGGCTCTGCCATTTTATCCATGTACAGTCAAACATGAACAGTTTATCCACGTACAGTTAAACATGTACAGTAAAACCATGTATAGCTTTTAAATGTCTTAAATATCGATTTCCTTTCTTATACAACTGGTGTCGTATCTATAATAACCTACCTTAAAAGGTTATTATGATAATGAAATGAGATGTGAATAAGAGGGTCTTAGCACAGTGCCTGATGCATAGAAATCACTCCACGAATGAACTAAAAATATTATTAACTCTGCCTCTAGGGTCATGGCCCAAAGCTGCCCTTCTTTTCACTGGCACTAGTTTTTATTATGATGAAAACAGTTCCTTCGCTCTTTAATATTTGGGGTGCTGCCACTACCTGGACTTGACATTGTGAGTGAGTCAATTAACCCCTCCCTCTGCTGCTGGGGCTGAGGAAATGGGGCTCACTCCCCAAGAACCCCTCGAGCGCTGAAAGTCTGAAATTTCGAGACGTTGATTTTCTGTTTCTTTGAAACTTTTTTTCTACAGGAATAAAGTTTACAAAAAGGAGTTAATCTATTTCATAGAGATCAGGTTAGCAATCCTTAGTCTGAAAAATTACTTAAATAACAGAAAGATCTCCTATATGAAGGACTATACTAAGATTCTTGACACACAATGTA